TTCCCGACTTTGGCTGCCCATTCCCTTTGCCACGTCTCTAGACTTGTAGCTCTTTCTTGTGGTCCTGAACCTATCGCTCCGTTGCCACTTTGGTACATTCTGGCTCTCTCCCTGGCCAAGATATGCACCGGTACAGAATCGGCCACCACCTGTAAAGCAATGGTTGATACAGTCCTGTACGCACTGCACACCCTGATCAGGGGTTTCCTCTGAGCCCTAATAAGCATGTCTTTATACTTTTTCATCCGAAGGACCTCGTGCCACACTGGGGCCCCGTATAGTATTATGGACAGTATTGATTGAAGCAATACTGTCCTCTTTTGGGATCCGGGTCCCCCGATGTTGGGCATTAACTTGTTAAGTGTTGAGGACCTTTCTTCCGCCTTCCGACATGCTTCTTGTACATGCTGTCCGAAAGAGAGTCTGTCATCGAAGGTTATACCTAAGTACTTGACTGTCCGTTGGGGTCTTATTTCGGAGTCTTGATATGCGAAGATTATATCGTTTCTCTTTCGTGGGGAGGCAAATTAGGCATACATCCAATTTAATTAGCTATATAAACGGTTTTTTGTAAATTTGTTTCGGTTGCTGTAATATTAAAAGTCGGAAGAAAAAAAGGCAGTTAGTGACACGCCGTCACTGTCCATAGATATGCCCTAAAAAGCAAAGATATTTTATATTTCCGGCAATAAACTTACATTAGCTCGATTAGATTAATGAGATATAATCGTGTTTTTCGATTATCGTTTAAGCAGCAATGAGGTCATCATTTTAATCAGTATAAATAAAAATTTTGCCCAGTATTCATTCTTTTATATTATCCAAAAACACAATATGTTTAAAGCTCCATATATAAGTGATGTAAAATTTTTGAGAGTAGTATATAAAATTGGAAGTTATTGTGGACTTTGTCCATCAGAAACACACATTTGGCTATCCAACTTTTATTCTGTAGCAATTATCGCGGTTTTGTTATTGGGATTTAAAAATTTCCTATTTCAGATAAGTCTACAAGAAGACGATTTTAACATAAAAACCACAGATTGGGTAATAGCGTTTGGAATGATTCTGTCATTTAGTCTATCTCTGCTGGTGTTTTCGTACAGCATTATGAAGGATCGAAAGAACTGGCAATTATTTTTCAAACTAATACAAAAATTAGATAGAAAATTTCCACAAAAAGAAGTTGAAGGATGCTTTTCGTTTAAAATGATTTTACTTTGGATAATATATTTAATTTTCCAATTCTCTAGTATTTTGGAAAATATACAAATTGATATGGATATGGCTCCACGAATATTTATCTTTATGTTTTGGTTTTTGGCCATGACTCAAATTTTGTTTATTGTTATTATAATTTGTAAAACTACATGTATGGTCTCTATAAGATATCATTTATTAAAAAAATTTATCAAACAGCAAGTATTCGGAAAAATTAATCAGACGAAGGCTCTACACGAATTTAGAAATCGTCTTAGATATTTGCACATGACAGTAGTAACTTTTAATGAAATTGCTGGCAAAGTTATATTGGTATTACTGGTTTTAGCATTTATGGGTGCGATAACAATTTTGGATTTTTCAATAACTATTTTTAAATCAACTTTACTAGATTCGTCAAAGGTTATTCAACTTGCAGGAAGTATAGGGCAGATCAGTGTACTAATCGTAAGTATCTCAATTTCTTGAGAAAGTTATCTTATTATAGAGGTGCTTCTATTTTTTACAATCCTTTGTCATTATTAAACAAAAACGGGTGTGGCTGTCCAGTGGGACTGCCGGTAGAAGTCATACTTTTATACACGCGTTCGCTGTGACAAATTTATATGGGAGACAATCTGCACAATCAATACATGTAATGCTATAGGTAAGAGAGAGCAGAAAGGGAAAAATATTTAGGTATATAGGTATATGGTGCATCGTTTGCTGTATATAAACAACATTTGACCTGTAATAGGAGTATAGTAAATGAAGGACTGAATCAATATTTTGATGAAAATGTATTTTTTTATTTTCATAAATGTATGAAAGGGAATGCAAAAAAAATTTTACACATACTCTGCAGTAAAATTCATTTTGTTATTTATATAAAAATACAATAAAATACACTGCAACATAATTTAATATAATAATACAATACAAATTAAAATACAATATTCATTAGCATTTAAAAATGACAATATACATAACTAACTTACGCATATGTTTAATTAACCATGATAATAATATTAATAACATAAAAATATTATTTCGTGATACAACTATTGATTCAGTAAATTTGTACTGTAAAGTGATACTAGTAGGAAAGTTTTGGGGAAGTTCTGATTTTTTCATTCCATACGTGGTTTGGGGTGCTAAATCTGAATCTGAGGTTTGCGGACAAAATTTCGTGACGCAACATTTAAAAAACCAGAAGAAATCGTTTTTTTTTTGCTTTTTTCCGGTTTTTTGCTTAAAACTCGAAAACTATTAACTTTTTTGTTATTGTACAGACGAACCGTTCGGTCTCAAGTGCAAATGATGGTGCCCACTGTGTCGCAGGATAGTTTTTTTGCAAACCCAACAAACAAGAGCCGGTTTATATCTATGTTAATGGAGAAACTTCATGATGTAAAAATTCATTCAAAGCAAGCTGTGGAAGATGCTGTTATCCTAATTATCTCTACAGCTTTTGAGATGGCCCCGTCAAATGAACATGTGACAGTGGTGGGAGAAGATATCGACCTACTGGTCATTTTGATTGGTCTTTGTAGTCCTGATATAAAAAATGCATTTTTTTGAAGCCAGGAAAAGGAAAGGTTTCGCAAAGCCTCTACAACTCTCATCTGGCTGCTGACAAAATCCTGTTGGATCATATTTTATTTCTGCATGCGATGAGTGGTTGTGATACTACTTCTGCATTGTTTAATTAAGGGAAACTGAAATTTCTTAAAGTCCTGCAGAAGAACAAAGATTTGCAATCGGTAATTGAATCTTTCCAAAATACCATAATTCAAGTCAAGATAAGATTGCCACAGCAGGAAACATGTTTCTCACGGCTCTATATGGAAAAAAGAGACAAAAGTCAACGATTTAAGATATAAACAATACGTATCTTCATCATTCAAAAATAAGACCAACCTTTCCTCATTGCCCCTAACTGAAGCTGCTGCACGAGAACATTCACTGAGAGTTTACTATCACGCGGGACACCATTGTTTCCCAATATGCGCACTATGCGAAGGATTGTGTAACAATGTTAAGCCCCCAGAAGACAGCTCTGACATAGACGTAGAAGAAACTGAAGAAAGAGGGAGAGGTATGTTGGATCTGACAAGTTATTTTGTAGTCATTCATCTCTCCCTGATATATGATATGTGTCTCTCCTCTTTTTATTTTCCAGGAGAATGACTCCCGACGCGGATGGAGCAATCAGACCCTAAGCCAGGACTCGATGCTATCGAAGAACCTCACTACGATGCGGAAGGTATGTTTAATCTCACAATCTATTTTGCAATCTTCATCTCTTCTTGATAAATGACTTAACTTTAAACTTTTATTTTCCAGAACAAGCAGAACCAGGACTCATCGGTATCGAAGAACCTCAGCCAGGGCCTTCCAAAAGACAACGGCTCATAAATTTTGCATATTATAATTTATAATCATAATAATATATGATCATAAGTAACGAGATTTTAAGTTTTATTTTGTTACGAGTTCTACCTACCTGCTGAATTTGCATAATTTTTCCCTTTTTTCTTTTTAATTACTTGTGTGGAAAACTAGGTGACATTTATCAAATGACAGCATCCATAAAAATTAAATATTGCAATGTAAAAAGTGGGTTTTGCATAAAATGCTAAAAATTTACAATTTTCAACTCGCACTAGAAACCGAACGATTCGTCTAAAAAAAAAATTAAATACTGTTTTCAGAAAATTTCAAGTACTTTACAATTCGCAATTGACAATTATAATTTTTAATTTTGTTCTAAACCTAAACTGCAGAGTACAGCGACATCAATAGATTTGTATCGGTACTACAAATGACAGTTAGTTTAGTTTGACCTTGAGCTAACTGCGTGAAACGTCTAGTTATTAGTGGACTATGTATACAATCGTTACTAACAAGTAGTTACGCTACTAATAGTAAGCCAGAATAAGGTTTAATGTGTAAGTTGGCGTGTCAATTTTAAGTAAATGAAATCCGGTTTGTGCGCTGGTTCTTCAGATTTGGCGTCCACTATAGTCAAACTTTGAAACAGAGATATCACGTAAAGAAGTTATTTACCGTTATATCAGGGCGTGTATAATAATTATCAAGAAGTATCGATATAATAAAAAAAATACAATATTTGTGTTACTGACTGTATATTAATTCATTACGCTAATTTGGCCTAAATATTATTTGTCTATTAAGTAATTCATTTTCATGCCGATAACGATACATTTACATTCCAGTTAATCAATAAAAACTTCTAATAAAAATATTTCTACTGTTAGTGTCGAGTATACACGATGTTGACTTTATTGAAAGTAAGTGACGTCCAATTTTTAAAAGTAATCTATAAGATTGCAAGCTATTGCGGAATTTGCCCACTAGAAACCCCCATTTGGTTTTCAAAATGTTATGCATTAACGATTATCGTGGTCTTGCTATTGGGTTTGAGATCTATGTTTTTTCAAACAAATCCACTAGAAAACACACTTGATATTGAAACAACAGATATAGTGATTACACTTGGAATGATTTTTGCATTTAGTTTATCAATGTTGGTGTTTGCTTATAGCTTGCTAAACGATCGAAAAAATTGGCAACTATTTCTCCAAATAATCTACAAATTAGATGAAAAGTTTCCCAAAAAAGCTGCTATAGAAGTTTTTTTATTAAAAATATTTGTATTTTATTTAATGTGTATTTTGGCTCAATGGTGTACTTTACATGATGACTTCGATTTGGATACAGCTTCGCGAGTGTATGAGGTAATATTTTGGATAATGGCATTAAATCAAATTATGGGGATGGTTGTTTTAATTTTGGTAACCACAACTGTCGTATCGACGAGATATAGCTTACTAAACAAATTTCTCAAAGAAGAGGTATTTAAAAAAATAAATCAAATGCACTATATGAAGTGTCTACAACAATTAGAAGGATATCTTAAGGATTTACATGTGAGTGTAGTAACCTTGAATAAAATCACAGGCAAAATTATGCTGGTATTACTGATTTTGGCATTTGTAGCTGTGATAACTGTAGTTGACGTTGCTATATTAATTTTTAAGGCACCTGTAGTAAACGCTTCGGATGTTAATCAAGTTGCAGGAGGTTTGGCGGATAGCATCATGCTAGTCGTAAGTACCTACTTGAAGATATTTAGTTTATCAAAAACATGTAAAAGTATACATACAGACATGAGTGTCATGGAATTCGTCATTAAAAGTATGATTAGTGAAGAAGGTGCATACGTAGAGTCTGTTTTTCTATTATTGAAAGCTCTTTTATGTTCTGCTATAGGTTCGATAAAAGTTCTATCAGTTTGACCAATGTAAGTTTTTGGCAGTCGCCATATTTAAGTTTGTATACACCGCTGAGTAATCGTTTTTCTTTTGGCTCTTGTTGTTCTTAATATATTTGCCTAAGTTATTGTTTGTTTTAAAAGCTGTTGTGTAGTTTTTTTTAAATATCTTTCTTTTTTATGTGTTTGGCTACTTTTGTTGATATAACATCTTTGGTATGACTTTTATTGACATGACGTGACTCACATTCCGATGCAAAGCGTCAATTGAACGGAGTCCAAGTTGAGAAAGTTCACAAAATGACATATTTGGGAACTGTGATAACAGACCAACTAGATCCAGACAAAAATAAAACGTATAATAGCAAAGAATAAAACTACTTTTATAAAAATGAAGTCATTTCTTTGCAATAACCATCTCAGTTTAGAACTAAGGCAAAGAATGGTTAAGTGCTATGTTTGGTCTGTACTTTTGTATAGTGCAGAAGTGTGGACGCTAAAAGTATCGATCATGAACAAAATTGAAGCATTGGAAAGGTGGGTTCATAGACAAATGCTGAAAATACCTTGGACAGCAAGAAAAACTAATGAACAAGTACTAAGGAGCGTCAACAAAGACAGAGAACTGCTAAAGACTGGTAAACATCGAAAAATGTCTTATCTGGGACATATAGTAAGGGGAAGTCGATATAAAATTTTGCAACTGATCCTTAAAGGCAAAATAGAGGGCCGTAGAGGTGTAGGAAGCAAACAAGTTTCTTGGTTAAAAAACATTCGTGAATGGACTCAGACACCAAATGCAGGACAATTATTTCATATTGCAGAAGCCTTCGCAATGGTGATCGCCAACGTCGGATAAATCTAATATGGCACGTGAAGAAGAAGATGTCGGACCTTCTTCTTCTCGTGCCCCTCCTAGCGGAGATTGGAAATCATCATGGCCACTGCGACTTTGTTAGCAGCGCGCCTAAAAAGTTCAATCGAACTACACCCGAACCATTCACGTAGATTACGAAGCCACGATATTTTTCTTCTTCCCACACTTCTTTTGCCCTTAATTTTGCCCTGCATGATGTTTCTTAAAAGTTCGTACTTTTCACCTCTCACAATGTGCCCCAAGTATTCCATCTTTCTAGTTTTTATCTCATTTAGAATTTCGCATCTTTTGTCTAAAGTTTGGAGTACTTGCGTGTTAGTGACGCGGTCCATCCATGATATTCTGAGAATGCGCCTATAGCACCACATCTCGAAAGCTTCAATGTTTTTTATGGTCAACTGTTTTGGTGTCCAAGCCTCAACTCCAAATAACAGGGTAGAAAAAACATAACACCGCAGCATTCGTATTCGTAACTTTATATTGATATCACGATTGCAAAAGAGTTTGCGCATTCTATTAAAGACTGATCTAGCGATTTCTATTCTACATCTAATCTCTTTTGTTTGATCGGTATCGTCTGTGATCCAAGCACCTAGATATTTATAACAAGGCACACGCTCAATCGTTGTATTGTCTATTACAAGATTAGCTCTGATGTTCTTTGATTTCGTGATTACCATAAATTTAGTTTTTTTTCAAATTAATTTTCAAGCCGTAACTGTTACAGTATATATTGAGACTTTGAACGAGATATTGTAGTTCTACTAGCGTTCCCGTTAGGAGAACTGTATTGTCAGCATACCTTATATTGTTGATCGTCTCACCATTTATTATCAGACCAAGATCTTCTTCCTCGAGTGCTTGTTCACAGATAGCTTCACTATACAGATTAAATAAAAGTGGCGATAAGATACATCCCTGCCGGACTCCTCGACGGATTTGAATTTCTTCTGTTAGTCTGCCCTCAACCTTGACATTTGCTGTTTGATTCCAATATAGATTGCATATAATTCGAATATCTCGGCTGTCTATATTTTTCTTTATTAGAACTTGTCTTAGTGGTTCATGTTGTACTTTGTCAAAGGCCTTTTCGAAATCAATAAAGCAGGCGTAAATTTCTTGGTTCATGTCTAAGCATCTCTGTGAGAGAACGTTCATTGCAAACAGAGCCTCCCTTGTACCCAGCCCTTTTCTGAATCCCATCTGAGTGTTACTGATGTCTACGTCTAATTTGCCATAGATCCTATTATGGATTATTTTTAAGAACAGTTTTAGAGCATGACTCATCAAAGCTATCGTACGATATTCGTTGCATTCCTTTGTATTTGCCTTTGTTGGCAGTAGTATAAAGGTCGAACGGAGCCATTCCCTAGGTATTATTCCAGTTCTATATATTGTGTTAAGTTTGAGCAGTTCTACGGGAATTTCATCAGGACCGGGGGCCTTACCACTTTTTGCTTGTTTGATTGCATATTCTATTTCTTCTCTGATTATATCAGGCCCTGTATCATCTGTATATTCGTTTGAGATTTCTTGTCTATCTTTGTCATCAAACAGTTGTGATATGTCGGACCTACCTGACACTAATGCAAGAAAGTTTGACTACGCTGATGACCTAGCAATATCAATAATGCACAAATAGTTTGAAATAAATAAAACGTGCTGAAAAACGACTTCAAGAAGTTATATACTTTAATAAATCTAACTCTGTGCTTTAATAAATCTAACTATATATTCTCCCTTCATTATGTCTTTTAATTCATGGTTTATTCTTCTTCTCATTTCTTCGTTGTCCATTCTTATCTTGCCCATAATCCGTCTGAGGATTTTTCTTTCGAAAATTCTCAATTTTTCTTCATCTTTTTCCGTGAGGCACATTGTCTCAGCTGCGTACGTATTTACTGGTCTGATTGCAACTCTGCATATTTTTAGTTTTGTATTTCAGATAAGTTCTTGTCCTTCATAAGCCTATGATATCTCCAGTATGTTTTGTTGCCTGCTAGTATTCGTTCCGTTATTTTTTCACTTCTATTGTATTGACCATTCACTATTACTCCCAAATATTTCAATTGTTTGACTCTTTCAAATGTGTAGTTTTCTATTTTGATTTCTCTCGTCCTATTATATTCTCTTCTAGAGCAAAGTAGATGTTTTCTTTTTCCTTCGTTAACTTCTAGATCTCTTTTCCGTGCTTCTTTTGCCAGCATTGTTACTGTTTCTTTCAGTCTATCCTTGTCTATTTCCATAAGAACTAAATCATCTGCATATGCAACTATCTGTGTTGAGGAGTGGGCTATAATTCCTTTAATTTTGCTGGCCTTGACTGTTCCTTCTACTGCTATGTTAAATAATCTGGTTAACGGGGAATTGCCTTGTCGCACTCGTCTTTCTATTGCAATTGTTTTTGTGCTACCTTCTTCTGTTGTTACTTTAGCTTGAGATTCATCCATGGTCATTTTTGTTAATCTGACTAATTTTGCTATTATTTCTTGATGTTTTGTTTCAATAAATATTTTATTTCTTTTAATACAGTCAAAGGTTTATCTGAAGTCTACGAAGAGGATGTGGACTTCTATGTTCTGTTCGTGGCATTTTTCAATTGTTTGTGTAACTATGTATATCGCATCTGTAGTCGATCTACCCTCTCTGAGTCCTTGCTGGTAGTCCCCAATTTTTTTCTCTGTGAATTGAGTGAGTTTTTGTTTGATGAGGGCTGTTAGAATTTTATATGTTGTGCTCAGTAGAGATATTACTCTATAGTTGTTACAGTTTGTTACTTCTTAAATATTGGTATATTTCTGCCTTTTTTCCAATCATCCAGGTGATCTTTTCTGTTTCATTTTTTGAATCATGTCTAAATATTCATCATATGTTGGTATCCCTATTTCATTATCTCTAATGTCTTCCATTGCGCCTACTTCCCAAAATTAATATTCTTAGCAAAATGCAGTTTGTTCGTATGATTTTTAGAGGTTGAGTGGGTGTTTGGGAAAGGATGTAGTATTTATTATCATATTTTGTTTATTCTGTTCTAAGTTCAGAAAATGTGACTTTTTCTTTTGTTATTTTTGCGTCACCAACACATACAAAACGTGTGCAGTATACTATTTCTGTGGCCATGTAGTTAGAATTAATGCCATTCAAAATCGCAATACAATAGAGTGATTTATTGGTATACCCTCGCCCTACGGACCACCTCGAGGCGTAGCTAGAAGGTTTCTGTCTGACCATCTTAAGAAGCACTTCATACCAAGACAGCATACAGTAAGCACGGGACGTCCCTTCTTTTTGCCTCGGATGGCGTCGCGAATGTCAACGCTACCAATCTAAGGAGTAAGTCCCTGTTCTTTGTACAGATAACAGGTTGAGTTAAAGATAGTTAATTCTCGTAATTTATTCACAATTATATTTGCTATTTTCGCTACTGTTTTTACAGTCAAAATATTGCATTTTCTTTATTATTATTTCTAAATTCATTTAACCAGAAGACTGTAGTATATGTTTGTATTTTAAATTCTGTACTTGTGTTTTACAAAGCGAATGGCGAAAATTATATAAAAATGTGAAATACAACAGAAAAGAATTTAAACCTAGAATAACCATAATAAAAAGTAAGGAAGTCGAAATCATCAATGAGCTGGATCAAATAGTGAAGAGATGGGCAGAGAATTTTGCTGAGAAATTAAATATAGGTAACCAAGAAGTGACTAACATAAATGACCACAATGGTGACGTAGACGATGAGAGGGAGAAGAATAATATACCAACAAAAGAAGTTACCAAGGCGATAAAAAGGTTAAAAAACAACTAATCCCCTGGAGAAGATGGTATTCCCCCTGAGTTGTTCAAGTATGCAGACGCCCTAAAAAATGCATAATAAAACTTGTTGCATCCATTTGGAGAGAAGGAAAACTCCCAGACAGTTGGAATGTAGGTATTATAATACCTATTCACAAGAA